ATCATCTTTTCATCCAAGGTTTTCCCGGACCAACTTAGAGAGTCTCTCTAAGGTGTCCTGGGTCTTCTCACAGTTGGACATGTCCAGAACATCTCCTTGAGGAGTGATTCCACTGAATGTGGACGAGCAGCAGCTCTACTCCTCAGAAACACCCAAAAACCTGTAACTGCTCTCACACAGCAAGTTCTAATATCAATGCTCTAATAGAATTATAGTTCTGTCTCTTTCTTGCAAAGCTACGCTGTGGCAAAAGTACAAAAAATAAGGTCAATGAGATCAGCACCTTCCAGCTTGGTGTTCAGTTACTTATGAGTTAAGATGCTCTTGAACTACTACCTCTGGGGGTGAAAGAGGGGGTCCCTGGAGGGTGGAAATTCAATAAAAGATGAAGTTAACATGTGCATTCTTGGAATACCACTCCCCTGTAATATCAGCGTCTGTATCAGATGTCTGCTACTGACAGAAAAGAAGGACAAGTGTGTCGAGGCACGAGAGAAAAGTAAACAGAAAAATCTGCACTGAAATGCCCTGAAATAACCTCCAGGCAGAGAAAGACTCAAGTTAAACATGTGCACAGTGAAACCTACATCAGGTAAATGTAAACACACACTGCCGCCGCTCAACAGAGGGAGAATAACCGCTGAGTGCAGTGATGTGATTTGCAGGACGGTGCCGTGATAGTTTATTACACTCAGGTCTTTTAAATCAACTAAACGCTCGAACAGTAGGAGGAGAGGAGCCGTGTAAATCAGTTTAGCTGGCTCTTTTTATCTGAGAAACGCCGGCGATGAGAGCAGATGACAGCCGAGCCGAGCCATCCTTTACCGGTGCTCCGAGTCGCTGCCTCATTGACCAGCAGTGAGGAATGAAGAGCCGAGGAATAACGGGAATAGCATCAAAAATGTGCATACAATGATGAAACATCAAGAAAGCTCTGGATGCTAAAACAATCCTGAAACTTACATCACACTAACCCGACTGAATGGACCAGTAATTTAGTGACTG